AATTCTGCTTGACCAAAGTAAAGCATTTGATACCTTAGACCAGCAGTTGGCAACTGGCGAACCGCGGTTCAGATTCGGACCGCGAAAGGTAAAAAACTGGACCGACAAAAATTTTTTTAAAGTATAATTACTCAAATTATTTAAAAAAATATTTTTCTATAGATAACAATACATTTGAGTGCCACCCTTACCATTTTTTAATGGGTAGTAGTTTAAAAAAACTGACTCAAGACCGCAAATGTAATTTCTCCCGTTGATTTTTGAATACAAATGTGCCTATCTATTGTATTTCATATTATTTTGTGAGTGCAAATTAAAACAAAAAATGTGTAAGAAATTTGATTTTTTTTCTGGACCTCATTAAAATTTTTCTAAAGTATTCGGACTCCACCTAAAATTACTTGCCGACCCCTGCCTTAGACCATAATTTACTTATCCAAAAACTTAAACACTTTGGCGCCGGTAATGTACCAACCTTATTTTTCAAAAATTACTTATGTGACAGGCGTCAACGAGTAGTATGCTCTGGTCAATACTCTGATTTCAAAATTATTCGGAAAGGAGTACCCCAGGGAAGCATTTTAGGTCCTCCTTTATTCTCTATTTATACTGCGGATTTGGATACCTATTTAGCAGTGGCGGCTCGTGACGTTGAGAATAGGTGAAGCATATTCACTGATTGACTAAAATGAAAAAAAAAGCGCCGCTGGCAAAAAATTTTCAAATTTTCAAGGTCAAACGGCTTTAAATGAATCTGTAAATTTTTGTTGCATTTGCAATATTACCGAAAAATTGACGTTCATGAGAAGGATTTTCATTTAGATTTTATAAAAAATAGAAATATTAGTTCGGCTTGTGGACTTCTGCGAACATTAACGCACACCGTACATGTATGTTCCAAAGAAGCTTTGTGGTTACGACAATCTCGAGTGACATTCCCAAAATTGTTTAATCCCTTCTTATTCCATACGCCCGACTGTATAGGCTATTGAATATAGGATTTTATAAGGAACTATGACATTCAAGATATGAATCATTCAAATGGTACTTTTAAATGAAAAAACCGTGTAGTGCTATTAAATTAGAGGGTGGAAATTGGAGATAGGGGTGAAAATGCACCCCTTTCAGTTTTTTAATTGTAACTCGAAAACGAAGCAAAATTTTGGTAAGTATAGTTCATAAGAAAAATTATTTAGAGAATTGAATTTCCCATCGAAATGGCTTATTTAAAAATTTTCTTCAAAATAAGTGGTTGTAAAGTATTTTTGGATGAAAACTGACTGATATATGGCCGCTCAATTAGAAAATTTTTCGATTTTCGTCGTGTTTACCCTTATACATTTTAATTCCCATTTTTTGCAAAAACGGAAGGAAATACAACGTTCAAGGATTTTCATCACGATTTGTTCAAAGTAAAAATGAAAAAACCGCAGGGTGCTATTAAATTAGAGGGTTGAAATTGAAGACAGGGGTGTAAATGTACTTTTGCAGTTTTTTAAATATAGCACGAAAACGAAGCAAAATTTCGGTATTTAATTTTTAATGACCCGAACAAGTCATGTGATGAAAATCCTTGAACGTCTATTTCCTTCCTTTTTTGCAAAAATGAGAATTAAAACGTATGAGGGTAAACGCGAAGAAAATCGAAAAATTGGCTAAGTTTGAGTGGCCATATATCAGTCAATTTTCATCCAAAAATACTTTACAACCTCTTGTTTTGAAGAAAATTTTATCTACTTTTTTTTCTATGAAGCAATGCCTATACCTATCTTTACTCAAAAAAAATTAGAGGCAAAAAAGTAAAAAAAAATCAGAAAATCAAATTTTTTGCTTTTTTTTAAATAAGCTATTTCCAAGGGAAATTCAATTCTCTAAATAATTTTTCCTATGAACTATAGCGAAATTTTGCTTCGTTTGTGAGCTGCAATAGGCACATTCAGTGATATATAATTTTAAACTTTTTCTTTCATTTTCTGATAGTACTTAACCACCTAAATATATCTTAAAAAAGTGTATAAATAGAGAGTGTATAAGAGATATACATCAAGTTTTGTTGAAATGCATTTTTCACACAACATATTTATTATAAACATAGAATGACTTGGAATACCTAAATACATTTTCGGATTTTTCTCAATGACGTAAATGGTTCGCTTTTCTACATTTTCTTTTACGTTCCATTTTCATACAAATGTATCCAACGTACTAGACTCGGTACTTGTGGATGTATGCGACGACGTGTATGTGCCAGTAGTACTTTGACTAATATTTGAAACAACTCAGAACCACCCTCGTTTTTCTTTGGTTGCCCGTCTAGGGGGTTGTGAAATATTATTATTGCCATGTATTTCGAAATTTTTGTGGACGGGAATGTTTAGATGGGGTAGAAATTTTTTTTTCGGCATAAATTTGAAAAGTGCTCTAAATGTTTAAATAATAATATCCTAGACGGGCAACCAAAGAAAAACGAGGGTGGTTCTGAGTTGCTTATAGGTCCCTCTCGCCGACGTATTTCGAAATTTTTGTGAACGGGTACGTTTAGATGGGGTAGAAATTTTTTTTTCGGCATAAATTTTAAAATTCTGCTCTAAATGTTCAAATAATAATATTTACAACCCCCTAGATGGGCAACCAAAGAAAAACGAGAGTGGTTCTTAACTGCTTATAGCATAACGTTTTTCAAATTTTTTGTGAACACGAATAATTAGATGGGGTAGAATTTTTTTCCGGCATAAAGTTGAAAATTGTGCTCTAAATGTTCAAATAATAATATTTTACAACTCCCTAGATGTGCAACCAAAGAAAAACGAAGGTGGTTTTGAGTTGCATACCGTGGCTGGGAAAACCGTAGATAACATCACACAAACTTTTCATTTTTCGGTAATGAAATAAATATTTTATTCGGAGTCGATCCTGCAGGTACTTTTGCAGCCTGGAACTATACAATATTTGTACAATCCTCGGTTTCGACCCATTTAGACATAAAAACAATGATTAACGAAACTGCAAAGCGAACCACACACCGTATGTATCAACACAGAATGGGATGAGAGCGAGCGCGAGCGGAATGCTCTGCCAGTCGCCCGTACTGGTATTATGACGTCAGGCAATGGTTGCTCAACGTTTTTCCACGCTCTGTTTTCATTAATTTATTTCACACATTTCTCGTTGAAACAAAAAATTGATTTTTGGCATACTAACTAATTAAAGGGTACTTTTGGAATATGCAAAAAATGAAATGAATAATGCGATTGATAGAATTAATGCTGATTTAAAGTCAATAAGGGTTTTTTGGCGAGAAAACCGCTAACTCGGTTAACTATAGTTTGTTGCGGTTTGACGTTTCGGCAAGAAATGTAGTTAACCCGGTTTGGCAAGAAATGTAGTTAACCCGGTTTGGCAGAGTTTGCCAAACCATCAAACCGGATTTGTGGGTTGGTTTGGATCTTAAGTTAATATTTCTATCTTTGTTTATTTATTTTCTGTTTTGTACCATTGTACCTAGCCACTACTTCGTTTTTTAGAGGTTTGGATAGGTATAAGTTGAAAATAAAAAAAATTGGTAAAGGATTCACTATGCAAAAAATACAAAGTAATATTTAAAATTGATAATAAAAAAATAGTAATCGAGGATCCAAATAACTTTAATCGTTTATAAGATGGTAGATATGCATTTTCTATATTGTAATGTATAGATCTTTATTAACTTCCTTTTAGACGATACATTTGCGTTGGAATAGATAATATTTGTGAACAAGGTAAACCCATTTTGATTTAATAACCATCCATACATTAACGTTCTTTCATGGATGTGCATTTCAAATTAGGAATAACAACTATAGTATATAAGAAATAATCAAACAACTTGAGCTACGAGCACTATCATAGATTATAGATTACGATTTTATTATTGATTAGATATCCAAACCAAAAGAATTTTTGCGAGTTCTGTCAAATGTTAACTCAAACTCTTAACACAATCAAACTCGAGCTAACCGGGTTTGATGTGGTTTGGCTCGCCAAAAAACCCTTAATGTCTAATTTTTGTATTGTTCATAAATTCATTCTTAATGAAACAAAGACAGTTACTTTTATTTGGTAAACAGAGACAAAAAATTAGAGTGCAACGTGATTTTCAGATATTTTTAAATGGTAAAATAATAAAACCTCAAGATTGTAAAAACCTGGGCGTATATCCAGACGTTAACTTAAGGTTTCAGAGTCATGTTAACTATTTGGTTAAAAAGTCTTATGGGAAATTGAAGTTACTTTATATGCATAAAGACTCTCTTTGCAAAGAAATTAAATTAAAATTATGTGAAACCTTAGTTATGTCGTCATTAAGTTATTGTGTCTACTGGTCTTGGTTATTACATTCTGACAAATATTCTCTACAGAAAGTACAAAACAATTGTTTAAGGTATTCATTCGGTTTGAAAAAATTCGACCATGTAATTGTAACACCATGTTATCAAGAGTCTCAATGGCTCAAATTAAGCGAACAGTATGATCTACGTTTGTTCTCCCTGATTTATAAAGTTAATGAAAACAAATCTCCTGCATATTTACATGACAAGCTTGTGAAACGTAATGTTATTCATGGTCGCACCACAAGATTCCGGAATCTGCATACTATCCCGAGGCATCATTATGCCGAGTATGGAAAATCTTTTTCCTACAATGCCGCAAAGCTGTATAATAGAATCGATATTAATATTAAAAATACCTCCACTGCATCATCTTTTCGCAAACATCTAAAAAAATTTCGATATACTATTTATTTCCAATTACTTATTTTTCTGGTGGTTACGTGGAAGAGCGAGTAAAATCGAACGGCGCCACCAGGTTGCCTAAATCTTTGTTATAAATATGTATATTATTATTACATATTATTATTATTATTATTATTATTACTATTATTATAAATTTGCTAAGTACTTTCATCATCTTTTAAGCAAATTTATGATTTGATAAAATTTTGTCATAAATTCAAATTTTACCTTAAAGTTTTTATCTCTTGGTCCAAAGTTTCTTCAATGCCCTTTCTTTCATGTTGATCATTAGTTATTTGATCCCTTAAAAGCATGATGTCTGATTGCAGATTATTCACTTTCTCTTCTGCAGCCTCTTTTCCAATTTTTGCTATTATTAGTTCTTGATGATTTTTTAGAACTACCTCATGTAATTCCTAAAACACAATTTTTTACAATGTGTTTATCATATTTTTATATATTTATAATTTACAAAAATGATTACATTTTATATTTTCTAATATTAATTTTTTAATTACCTACATTTTAGGTAAAATAAATTATACAAAAAATTAAGTATGTAATTTTAGCAAACCATACATAGCAAAGTACAATTTGCACAGATTGTTCTGACTCACAGATTTCTATTCTACTTAAAATAGCCCTGCTAAAAAAAAAAAATTAAAAATATATATGGCGCAGTCCATCTATCCGTTATATAAAGATCCTGATGACTAGTTAAGAAAAATGTATACATCTCAAATGATTACAAATAGTCCAATTAACTAAGCCTTTAAATCGAAATTTTGCCAACTTGGCTGAATTTTTGATATGAGTTAGTTTAAGGTATATTATAACAATAAGTGAGAGTAATTTTTTGTTCAACCCCCGGCCAAGGGTGGAAAAAGATAAAACAAAGGGCTTTTTCAAGATAACTCAAAAAGGGTAAG